ATCAAACATTTTAAGTTTGTGACTTCTATTCTTCTTAGTGCAGTTTCTTGCTGCTCTGTTGTCATGACTCTATAAATTTTCTCGTGCTTGGATACCAGAGTATATAGTATATATCCAGTGTCAGTATATCCCACCAACACACCAACAGCTGTCTTGTCGAATTTCGACTTAGGCTTTGGTACTCTTGCATATCCAATGCATCCGAATTTCTTTATTTGTTCAAAATGACAACTTGTTTCTGATGAAAACTTCTTCAACGGGATCTCGTACTCTAAAGTCTTATGTGGAGATCTGTTGTACGCATGCACAGCAGCGTCAACTGCCAACTCCCACATACTCTTTAGTAATCCCGAGTCGATCAATGTTCTTACTTTCTCTTTCAACGTTCTGTTGAACCTTTCTGCAACTTCATTGTGTTCTGGAGTGTACGGTGATGCAAATATGGCTTTTATCTTTTCTCTTTTTAATACCTCTTTAAAAGCACCTCCCGTAAATTCCTTGTCTTGATCTGACTTTGCATAGCATAGCTTTTCTTCTTTTCCTAGTAGATTTCTGGCGGATATAAGATATTTCTCTAGAGCCTCTCCCGATTCATCTTTTGTCTTCAGAGAGTAGGCTTTTGCTAATCTAGAATAGTCATCTATAAAAGTGATTATAAACCTCTTTTGTCCTGAATAGGATGTAGGTTTTATTGGACCCATGATGTCCGTATGTATTACCTGTAGTGGTCTCTGTGCTCTATTTCTGTTTTCTTTAAACGGCAGTTTTGCCATATTTGCCATTATACATACTTCACACTCTAATATGGAGTTATCAAACTTTACATTCTCTAATCTCTTTTCAACTTTTTGTAATTGTTTTAGATAGTTTAACGATGCATGACCTAATCTAACATGCCATAACATCGCCTCATTTATTCTCTCTAGTTTCTTTACTTTTTCAATTATTGAGCTTTCACACATTTCTTCTATATTCTCTATTGTCTGTATATCCTCCAACTTAATGACTTGCTCGAGTTCAGCATTGTTGTGTTCTATATTTTCGTTTTCGTTCACATTTGTGAACTCTCCTTCATTCTCCCTCCCAATCGCAGAGCCAACATTATCCCTCTCATCTAACTCTCCCTCCGAAATTGATAATCCATTAGTCTGAATGTTTGCTTGCGATTGTTCAGGAAGCTCACTATGTGGAACAATTTCTGCTCTACATCTGTAAATTCCTTTAAAAACTATTTTATTTGTCAGTTTATTGTAAACTTTAAACACTTTATCATCTAAATAAATACTGAACCCTGCATCAACCAACTTTCTTAGATATAGTAAATTTTTGGATACTTTCTTTGTTGCAATTACATTTGTTAATTTAATGACTCTCTTTTCTTTTTCATTCGTTATTAGTGTAAGATCTCCTTTACCATCTATTGAAATGTTTGCAAGCTCATTTTTATTCGCGCATTTAATAACTCTATTTTTACATTTTTCAAACTTTGACAGAATAAAATTCTTATTCACAATATGATCCGTAGCACCCGAATCTGCAGTAAAATTGACTACCTCTTTTGAACTATCTCTATCTTCTATTAATTAGGAATGTTTGGTGTAAAACTCGGGGCAGATGGCGCCATGGCGTCCAGTCCTGTCATGGCGGCGTCACCAACACTAACTCAATATACATGTATGTGTGGTGTATCTGTGAGCACATCCGTGAGATAGACATAACCGTAAATAAAGCCTGTAATGTTTACACGATATTTCCTCTGTCTTTGCATATTTTAAGTGGAAAATGAAGTGTAGTGTGCTTGAATGTAAAAATGAAGTAAAATTTAAATTTCCAAAAAATTTAATTTTAAGAAAGAAATGGCTTGAGGCTATTAAGAGACCTGATTTTAATCCAACTCCAAAACATGGCTTATGTATAAATCATTTTAATCCGAAACATGTTATGAAAGAAAGTATACGCGCAGGTATGTATATATTCAAAATATTAACTTAATACATTTGTGTATGAAATATATATAGTTCTATTTAATTTTATGTTTTATGTGAATTTGCAGGATACGAGCTTCAGTCTACACGTTTACGACATGGGACTGTTCCTTCTATTTTTTCTTGGCAAAGTACATTTCAGGAACATGTTAATGTGAAAGAAAAAGAAAATGAGAGGGATAATACAGAAGACTTTACACCAGTCATATCTGAAGCGTCAAACAATGTACAAGATGATAGTCTCCAGCAAGGTCAAAATTCTGATACAACTGGATTTTTCACGGATAAAAATGTATCAACGCCTTTAAATGAAGAAACTCATATTTCTGTGGAAGTTTATAATTATGCTGAAATGGAGCTTTTGACAAGCAATATAAATGTTTATGAAGAAAGTATTAGTTGCGATTACGTGCAAAATGAAAACTGTTCAACGAACGATACTGAACAGTGTAATGATAAAGAAGCTTGCAGCTTTGCAACAACTGCGACTCAAACAGATTCAGCTTCTCGTTATAGTATTGAGCAGTTTAAAAATAATCCAAAATCATTGTTACATTTAACCGGATTAGAAAACTATGATAAATTCATGACAGTGTTATACTCCCTAGGACCAGCAGTGTATTATTTAAAGTACGCAAGAGGACAGGCAGTAGGAAATATATCAGTGCCAAATCAGTTGTTTCTGGTGTTGTGGAAATTAAGAAGAAATTGCTGCGATATTGAACTGTCAGAGCACTTTTCTATTCCTAGACTAGCTGTAGGAAACATCTTTCACACATGAATAACTTTTATGGCAAAGTAATGGTCTCTAATTGATATATGGCCTAGTAGACAACTAGTCGACTATTACATGCCAGAAAGTTTTAAACAACACTATCCCTCCACAAGAGTTATCATTGATGGAACTGAAATTCGAGTTGACAAGCCACATAATCCACGTTTACAGCAATCATCATTCAGCACATACAAAAATGGTCCTACTGTTAAAACTGTCATTGGCTCTACTCCGGGTGGTTTAATTTCATACCATTCTCCAGCATGGAGGTTCAACTAGCGATAGACAGATTATTGAACGGAGTGATTTGATGAAAAAGTGCGATTCTGGTGATTTAATTCTGGCTGATCGAGGGTTTGTAGTACAAGACATTTTTGCACCACACAATATTACTGTTGCTACACCTACTTTTACAAAAGGTAAAGGATATCTACCTCACCAAACAGTTATGAAAGACCGTCTATTATCAAAACATCGAGTCCACATTGAAAGAAGTATTGGATTACTCAAGACGTACAAAATTCTTTCAAGTAGACTGAATCACAACTACATTCCATTGGCTACAGAATTAGTTGGAGTATGTGTTATGTTGTGTAATTTTAAAGAAAATATTATGCGAAAGGTGTAAAAATAAATACAAGATATATGTACTAGTAATAAAATTTTGTTTATTTTTAAATAGAACAGTTTTGATTTTTATATAATGTACTTAATACAAACTTAAACTATTTTATAAATTATATAAACTTCTCATCGATTTATTTCTTCTTAAAAATACTGGCATTTTAGATTATTTTATAAAGTTATGCCACAAAATGAGTTTTATTGCATTTTAACTTTTCTTTACTTATTTTAGTATTTACGTTTTATTCAAAAATCTTATCTTAAAGTTTTCAACAATAGAACAAGTTTTATCACATTTCAACTTTTCAATATATATTACTTTCATTTATATCTTAGAATTTACCTTAAAATTTATAATCGCAGAACGAGTTTATCACAAACACAAGATATAAAGATGTAATACTTATACTTATTAAAATAACTTGTCATAATTTCTATAAATATATTTTTCAAATATTGCAGGCTTAAGGTATGTTTCATAAAAATTAGTTAACTTGAAAAGCATTTCCGATATAAACTTATCGTCCTTCTCAATTGATATTTGCACTAACTCCTTAAAGGTATATATCAATAAATCACAATATAATCTCCAGTAACCAGCAATTGTCCTTGAATTTGATAGTAGTACGAATGATTTTTCCGTAATGTTAAACAATTATTTTCATCTCTCTCTAAGTACGGTACAGTTATTTCATTTATTGGAAGATTCTTACTGGCATATGGACATTTCACTTCTATCACCGACAATAGGGCAAGTAGGCGATCTGGGCTACCTCCAATATATGGATGAGAAGGTAAAATAAATAGTCCACACTCCTGTATATTTAGCTCATTGACACGAGATTCATTAAATAAATTTACTGCAACATCTTCATATATTTTCCCATGGGATGTTGCTTTTGATGTGAAAGACCTTGGATTTAAAATTGATTGAGCTAAAGTCTCACCGCCTTTTTTACTTAATTTTTCATTGTAACAAGCATAAAAATTACTCGCTGTTATTCTATGACACCTATATTCATGCCATGCTTTATTATTACTTTGGCCACGAGTTTCTTGTTCTATTTCTTGTACTTGTTCTTCAGAAACATCTAGTAGATAAAGAGATTTAAGCAAGGAATTTTTGGCATTGTACGTTGAATAGCAATGATCCCACTCTATTGCATATGGATTCGCAGGTTCTAAGATCATTTTAATTGACATCGAGTTTTTATATCCACGAGCAATAAATAAATTTCTGTAATAGTTTTTGTACCATATTGCATAGTTTTTATTATCTAAATTATACTCTGGGATTAATGTTCTTCGTTGAAAAAGCTTTACTTTCATCGGTGATCCAGTGTATTTCTTTGTTGGCTGGTGAAAAGTTTGCAATTTTTCTGTTGATGTCTGTTCTAAGATTACTGTTCTGTTCAAGCATACATCATTCATAGCCAGTAATAATACTGTCACATGCTTACAGTGGGCGGTTTTTGAATGCCCGACTGTACATTCACAGCTGGTTTCTTGAATTTCTCCATCAAAACTAATACTGGCATTAACTTCATATTGTACATGCTTTCGCATTTCAGCCCTGCATTGCCCTTTTACAAAATATATATTATCTGTAATAATATAATTGTTTACTAATGTTATTATGTCACTTCAAGCTTTTTAAAATAAAAATTTGAGTAAAATTAAAAATTGATAATATTGTGATAAATAATTACCAGGAACACAATATCGGATGTACGTTAAATATCCATTATTATATAAACCTACAGCTGAACCCATATTTTTTTGAAACCTGCAAAATATAAACATTAATATAACATCTTGAATATTATTCTATTTTATATTGAAATTTATTATATATTATATATTATATATTGCATAAAAACTTGTGTAAACCTTTGCAAAAAAGCATGTAGATGATTTATGGTAAAAGCAGGTACAGGACTAGATGCATTGATATCTTTGTAACTTGAAGCTGGTGGAGTCTCTATACAATCTTCCGTTTCCAGGATTGGCTCATAACCAAAATTATTATTTTTATCATAATATATTAATCTAAAAAGTTATAAAAATATATTAATCTAAAAATTAATCTAAATACAACTTACTGTTAAATGATTAAAGCACACATTTTGTAATCTGCCCATATATACAATTATATACTAACCTGTCCACTAACTCTTTTTCCTTTCCATATAATAATGCACCTCTTTCTCGCAGCAGCTCCTTCAATTTTTTAATACTTAATTTACCGTAATAATCTTCTTTCGACATTTTTGTTGAATCGAAGTAGCCGTGAAGTATCACAGATAGGCTCACGCATACACCAACACATGCATGTATATTGAGTTAGTGTTGGTGACTCCGCCATGACAGGACTAGACGCCATGGCGCCATCTGCCCCGAGTTTTACACCAAACATTCCTAATTTAACCATGTATTATTTACCTTCTTCTGATTCTCCTTCATTTGCTGTTTTCGTTGATATAGGTTTCTCAGCTGGTTGTATCTTGGTTATTTTCCCTTTGTTATCTACTCTTTTTGTGCCTTTTTGCACAAATCTACCCTTTTTCTTTATGTTTTTATTAACGGTTTTATTTAAATACCTTTTTCCTCTAGCTCTGTTCGCCTGGGCTTCGGCACTCGGACAATTATCACCCTTGTGACCTCGTATCTCCTGGCAGTAGTAACAAAACCAGGCACCAAATTCTATTAGTGGACAGTCCTTCGCCATATGACCCATTCGGTTGCATCTGTAGCATTTCACTTGTTTCATGTTCTCTTCTGCAGCAGCCCTCTGTACCCTGACTTCGAGTTTCTCTAATTTTTTTTCTATTCTCGTTTTTAGTCTCTGCTTCTAACTGCATCATAAAAGACTTTATTTCATCTATGTTCATTTCTTTAAGATTAGTTTGTCTTCTAATTAAATCTACATTCCTCAGCTCTGGTACATTAATTGACACAGCCTGATAAAGTGCAGATCTAATCTCTTGTTCTGCGAGGGGTACCGCATCTTCACATGATTCATATTCTCTAATTATTGAATCGAAGCGTTCACAAAAATCACTTACTTTTTCGTCTTTTCTCATTTTAATTTGATAAAGTTTAGCTCGTACCGATGCATGAGTAACGTTTACTTCACTCTTTTTATATCCTCTCAATTTCTTCAAAATTTCTTTCGGATCTTTTTCATGTAGAATCCTTTTATGATAGTTTTCCGTGCTCGACGTTTTGTTCCCCGGAAAAAATCTCCCGGAAATCAGTTCCCGGAAAAAATCTCTCCGGAAAAAATCTCCCCATCAAAAAATCTCCCCCGGAAAAAATCTCCCCCGAAAAATATCTCCCCCGGAAAAAATCTCCCCCGGAAAATATTTCCCCCGGAAAAAATTTCCGTGCCCAGCAAAAACCGAGGTGCCACATGGGTTTACAACTTTCCACGTGTGAAAAACCCACGCACGTACTTTGCAAGGCACACTATGTGTATAGTTTAATGATAGTGGAGCCCCCCGCAGGGGGGCGGAACCTACTGCCTCCACGCATACACTTCTCGCGCGAGGCGAGGTGCCACATGGGTTTACAACTTTCCACGTGTGAAAATCCCACGCATATACTTTGCAAGACAACTTTTCTCAAGAAGTTTAACGCAACCAGCAAAGCGCAAATAAATTAAAAAAGTTGTCGTAACTAAAAACAAAGACAATAAATACATAACTCATGATAATTTAATACAACGAAAGATTGACAGCAACATTCCTCAGGATTTTCAACGCATCCAACAAAGCGCAATTAACGTAATACAATCGGCGTAACTAACAACAAAGATAAATAACACATAATTCATAACACATTTTTATAACGATAGATTGGCAGCGACATTCTTCAAATATTGTAACACATCCTGTCGGTTGTAGGCTGCAACGAGACTCTTCAATCGCGCATCGTTGTCTTTGTAGCGCTTGTTTCTATTATTCGCAGGAGCGTGAGCATTCGCGCGCGCAATGTGAGCGTCAACGAGACCCTGCTCTGCTTGAAGCAACTCAATCATTTTCCACAGTACGAGATGCGAACCATTTGCTCTCTGATTTAGTGCTTGGTGCCATCCTTCCACTGCATTGTTGGTACGAGCAACAGCCACCATCACTGAGGAGTAGTGGTTCCACAAAGAAATGTCAAACATTGCGCCGCGTCGTACTTTACGACGACCTAACACGCCAACCCAAGTGTGCTCAAAATAATCGAGAAAACCTCTCAAATCTTTCTCATTATCCGTGAAAAATTTCGACTGCAGCAAAGCATCGTACGCGTAAGTGACATCGCAGGAAGGAACGAATGCCAATGCGAATAACATTCGCAAATTACGAGCTACGCGGCTGCTCTCGCGGTACAATGGCGCAAGGTCGTGATCTTGTATACCACGCCAAAGTGCTTGACCGAAATGGAATAAACACCCTTTGATTTCACACTCGGGAAATTCTAGTGTAACGGCTTTTAAAAATGCCATCTCAAAATCCGACATTACATTTTTTGGGGCCACCCCGGGAATAGCATCTTTTAGAACCCGCAACAGAGTTTGATATGTTCTCTTGCGTTGATTAGGGCATAACGCATATACAAGAGGCACAATTTTGCCATTCACCTCCCCATGCACGGTGTACAGTTGGTCGAATATTTCAGGCACTACTTTAAAAGTACCATCACAATACCATATGTCACATCCTCGCAACACCTGCAGATTATCCTCCGTAGCAAATATAAGCAGTCTGTTGTTAATATCCTCAGAGTCGAATAACAAGAATTTCACGCTCTTCAATGTCTTTTGAAAGTGTTCTGGTATTTCATACAATGTGTTCTTCCTGGGATTAGGCGGTAAAGGATTGTTTCTTTGACGGATTCCTCGGACAGTCCGACTCAATGACTCAGCACTCGGTAATTGTGCAGCAACAGGAGACGACACCGTACCCAGCACGGACGCCACTAACGACGATGATGCTTCCTTGCTTGTCACCGCTTTCTTCCGTAATTTTGCAACAACGCGCTTTGTCTCAACTGCTGCAGCGTTAGGAGTGTGAGTTGTGTGCTCAGTTTGATGCAAAATGATACCTATAATAAGCAAAAAATAAAAGAGTAATGACAATTTTCCGATACTGCCATTAAGTACATTAATTTACGTACCATCGCGTAACTCCGACGACGTGTGACAAATCCCCCGACACCCGGTTTTATACTGCACACACCGCCAAATAACTTTTCCATTAGACCCCTCCCCATGCTTGTAATACAATTCACCATCAGCAATCAGCTGATTCTTTCCCTTGTTGCTTTTTACAAATTTGAGCGGCACGGTGCACGATAATATCGCTACCAGTACTTACAACAGACTGATTACTGTTATTCGAGGTGATATTGCTGACGATGAGTAAACACAGTACAATCAGTTGACGGTTCCGAATAATAACATATACAAGCATCAAATAAAGTCGCACAGTCTAGTGTAACGGCTTTTAAAAATGCCATCTCAATTTGAAATACAGTAGTACTGGAATTTTGGATGGGGAGATTTTTTCCGCGGGAGATTTTTTCCGGGGGAGATTTTTTCCGGAGGAGATTTTTTCCGGGGGAGATTTCTTCCGGGGGAGATTTTTTCCGGGGGAGATTTTTTCCGGGGAGATTTTCCCGGGAACTTATTTCCGGGGAGGATTTTTCCGGGGAGATTTCTTCCTAGAGCCATAGTTTTCATCTAAATGATTGATTATTATATCTCTAACTAGACTTTTTCTCTTAGCAACTTTTAGTTCGGAGAGATTTTCTGGACTTTCAATGTTTGAATCTATTACATCTAACAACTCGTTATTCATTAACTCAGATTTTAAATAATCCATCCAAGGATCAAAGTTGGATTTTTGCGTCAGCTTATATTCTCTTCTAATATGCAACCTTTGACTGTTCAATTCCAATTCTATAGCTCTTTTTATTGTCTCTAAACTCTTATTTTTTTCGACTGAACAGACTGTTATTTCATTTAATTTTCTCTTTTTAGACTCTACCTCTAGTTCTTTAACCGTTTGTTTACTGTTTTCTACTGAACTTTGGGTATCTTTATTGCTTACCTCTAAACGTCTAAGTTTAACTTTTTCTTTCTCTAAGTTTAAACAGGAGACTTCCACCATATTCTCCATCATCTCGGTGGCCTTCGTCATTACTTTATCCAGCATCTGCATCGAATTGTCCATTTTTGCGACCAATTTTTCTTGCTTTTCATATAATATTTTGGTTCCAATTGGCAGTACTGGACGGTTCTCTTCCCATGCTTTGGTCACATCTATATTCTCTCTGACTTTAGGCAAGTTCTTTTTCGGGATTGCACCTCTTCTTTCCATCTCCTTTTTATCTTTTGCTTCTATACGGAATTTTGAAATTACTATTTTTATTTTCTCTGAATGCATATATGTATTATTCTTCTAGACTACTTTATTTTCAAAAAAATACTCTCTTACCTCTATCTTTTCTTACTGTCTCCTCGTTTTTATCTTTTGTTTCTCTATCTATTACCGTGATAAAGCTGCTATCGCTGTCGTAGTCGACCAGCGCATCTTGGCCTTCTTCTTTCATCTATATCGGGATTTAAATATCAATTGAACATTAGCATTCCTCTTTTGACAAGATTAACCAACATTCGTATTGACAAATAATAATTTACAATTTCTATCACTAGATCTCTTTCAGCGATAAAAATTTAATGCTTATGAGGCTATATAGAACGCACTGCAATTCACAATAACCCCAAAGCGAGAAAACCACGCGCCTCTGCAGGGTTATCCGCACGCGCACACCACTGTCCGTTGCGATCCCCAGCACTGCTGAAAAGATCTATGGGAGTTCGGGTTGATCACGCACACGCACGGGGCCCATACAAATTTACGCGGCTTCCCTAAACAGTAATCAAGCTACACCGCACAGCAAGTCATGCTCAATTACCGACCCGATACATATCGATTTCAAAAAAAATAAACTCATATAGAGTCATATAGAGTTTTTATACATACGCATACACATACATATACATGTATCGCAATCTAGCCATCTAGCATACGCATACATTTACATGTATCGTAATCTAGCCATCTAGCATCGATGCCATGTTGTTAGTCGAAATCGATTATGTGTTTGTGCGCGCCCAGCAACAAGTTCTGCGCGCCAAAAACAATGACTCTCGCCGTCTACAATCAGACTTCCGCGCGCCAAAAATTCCGCGCGCCAAAAGAAATGACTCTCGCCGTTCACGATCGGACTTGCACGCGCACGTCGTCGACTTGCTACCAAGCGGCATTTTTCTATCTCTTTTTCCTTCATCATTCTCTACTTCTTTATTACACTTTACACATCTATTCTCTAATTCTCTTATTACCATTATTACCTCTATTTCTATTTCTCGAGAAAAATGGCAAAAACATCTATCTCCTTGTAACAGTATTTATCGAACGAACATTCTTATTAACTGAGAATTCTCTCGTTTTGCTCGTCAGCAACGAGGAATATTATTTACTTACCCTCTAATCTTCTAGATGCTTCTATCTCTTTCTATGCCCTTCGCCGGCGTCTCACACACTTCGTATATACACTTTCGTGCTATGTTCCTCACGCAGGG